TGTTGGAATTGTCAACAATGTATGTAAAATAACTAACACAGTGCCTGACATATAATAGGTGGTCAGAAAATAAGCAACTTTTTTATTTTTTGAGACGGAGTCTTACTCTGTCACCCAGGCTGAAGTGCAGTGGTGCATTCCCGGCTCACTGCAACCTCCGCCTCCCCGGTTCAAGTGATTCTCCTGCCTCAGGCTCCAGAGTAGCTGGGACTACAGGTGCATGCCAGCACGCCCGGCTAATTTTGTGCATTTTTAGTAGAGATGGGGTTTCACCGTGTTAGCCAGGATGGAATAGCAACTATTATACTAAATTTAGTTGATTTTTTAAAATGTATCATACTGAGTTATGAAAGTCATCTTAGATAGAACATTTACTATTCTAATGCAAACTACCTAATTATCATACTGACAATAATTTCTGGTGACTTCATAAAATAAAAAAACGCAATTACTATTGTCATTAATATGATCTTTAATAAACGGAATAATGCACCATTTTACAGCAAGCCTTTTTAAACCTAAAGAACTGCCTTAAAATCTCCTTCTCCAATGTCTCTGTATCAATACAATCTTTTTATTTAGGTTTATATATATCAAAGCATTTACTTACACTTATTCATAGAAAACTCTTTAGTGGCTTAATGTCAGCTTTCATAGTGGCATCCATAGATAATACAAAAGAAGAGTGATTTGCTTTATTTTATACTCACACTGATCCATCAAACACAACTTATACAGCATAGCAAGGTTTCAGACAGCTTATACAAAAGCAAAGTAACTGAAATTATTCATAAATTCATATATGACAGTCTATCTGTAATGTAAGAGCAAAACACACCAACAAAAGATACCCGTTAACAAGAAAGAGGGTTCTGAGGAAGTGCGAATATTTTCTAGCCTTTCTTTTTCCAGAAAAGCATCCTCAGAAATGAATACTCTGTAGCTTGTTTCTCCTGTCCATTCAGAAAAAGCATGGCAGCTACACATCTCCTTGTTTCAGCTATTACAACACCCTAAGAGTTAGTGTATTTTACAATTATCCATGTATCTTTATTTGAAAAATTATCAACAGAAAACTGAAGATGATTCCAGCTTACATAAACACTGATACAATAAAATCTCTTACGGAACAAAATGACAAGGCATACAAAAATTACTTAAATAAATAAATGTGGCCAGAAAAAGAAAATCCACAGAAGTCAAGCAATTCAATGTTAAACTGAGACCTATTCATCTTTGAATTGCATTTTTTAGTATTTTTTTCTTACTTTTAAGCTTCTTTAAAAATATGTTTCCTTTACATACTTGAGAGGATTGGTAATAAGGTGAAGAGCCTGAGACAAGACTGCTTATGGATAACTTTCTAGGACTTTAAGTATATAGTGTATCAATTTAGAACTTGAACTTGTCTGATTCAAAGAAAAATTGTTTGACTCTGACAATGTGATATTATAGGTTATTTTCTCAAAACCATTCAAGTTATTACTAAAGTTATAAAATACTTAGTTCACTTTTAGAAGAACGCTTCATAACCCTAAATTGTCTGTGGAGAAAATCCTATCTGAAAGGAAATACTTTACTAAGTTATCTTATTAAAAACAAACAAAATGAAACAATTTGTCCCATATCATGTATGGTCATTTAACCAAAGAACAGAAATGTAAATCCTTTTAAGTCAGTGCTTCAGGCTATAGGCCTAAGTTTGTTGCAACATGTAGCCAATTAGTTGAGTCATTCCCTCTGTTCAGTAATTACAGAACTGGGTAACTTTTTATGATTAATAAAATCTGATATTCTATGTGAAAAAGTCAAATAAGGTGAAACATTAAATGAGCTGTGCAACAAACACTTTAAATATTCAACTGGATCTAATTGCTTATTTGCTACCAATTGAACTTTTTCAGTGTACAAAGGGATGAAAGGGGCCCTGAGTTTTTAAGTAATATGACGTCTATAGAATGAATCTTAAAACATGAAGATTGTTACCAATTACTGCAAGAATATGAAAAAAAAAACCATGAAGATGTTTCTGAAATCTAAAGGTATAAATAAAATGTATAAAACCAACATGTTGCCTTTTAAAACTGAAAAACAAATCAAGTGTAGTTTCAAATACAACAATTTGCTTAAAAATTCAGTCATAAACTGGACACCCTAGTGATGTGATTTGGTTCTGAAGATTCCTTCTCTCCTACCCAGATTTTAAAATGGGTTTCAAGTTGTTTTAAAAATGAAAGTGTATGTTCACAATGTTTAATAGTAACACTATAAACATCACAATAATAAGAGAATTGAAATATTTAGGATATGATTTATTTTGAGCATAGTTTTAATATACAGCATAAATTCTTCTGAAGTACTTTCAAATGTATCTGCCATGAGATAAATTTCTAAGTTTTTCTTTATATGCACACTCAAATCAATCACTTAAAAGTTAAATGAAAGTTGTTATAGTCCAGTCTATGTTGCAAAATAATAAGTATTTCAAAAGTGGTCTACAAAAATGTCCATAGATATACCTGATTAATGTAAGGTTTGCTTTTGAAAGTTAGTCTTGCATTTAGCATTTAATATTTGATACAAAGAAATATGTAAAATGTTGTGGCTCAATCATAAAACTAAGCTTGCTGCAATATAAGTTAAAAATTTTTAATGGCAAAATGATATACAATTCTGTATGCATGGCTTTTTAGTTATAACTAGTGAGAATATAAAATCATAAAATTCCACAATAGAAAATGTTAGATAATATAAAAATTAAGAGCTGATTTGCTGGTAGTCTGATGGTTGAATCCATTTTCAAATAGAAACATCTTAACTCTCAATTCAATCAAACTATCAAACTGTTACTTAACTGGAGTCATGAATTTGAATATAAAAGAAAATATGATTTTATGTTCTTAAAAATAAAGTCATTACAATAGGACTGAGGAGAAAGATCTAGTCATTTTGTCTGAAGAATTGAGGCTTCAATGTTCATTGAGAGGCCTGAAGCATACTGAAGACTAAGAACACTGGGGATGATGACCAACTGATCTCTTTTGGGTCCTACTGGGTAAAAGAAAATAATTTAAGATTAAAGAGGAGAGAGACAGAATAGATATGAAGAAAACTTTCCTGACACAGACAACCAATCAGATAACTAAGGTGTAGAGTTAAGTCAGACATAAACTATGAGGTGATTTAAGGAAAGTAATGGGAAGGCGCACTTAAATGCTCTGATTTCCTCTTTTCTCGTATGTTCATCAGGAAATTTGTAGAGAAGCCTTCTCTTGATAACAAATTTGATGTAACTAGCTCAAACAGTGATTTGCCAGATTTACTTAATCAAGGAATATATTTAGGAGGGAATCATGCAAGGTAGCTTTGGGTAAAGTTTGCACAGTTCATAACGTAAAAGTTAAAATGCAACCTTATGTGCTGAGAAGTAAATTGCCAGTAAACAGTATATTTGAAACACTGCATTCTGAAAGTCTCTTGGGGTTTATGTGAGAGGTTAAACAATTTCTAGAATGACTGGTCTAGATAACCAACATGTATGTACAGATTCTAACTTTAAGAAGTTAGCTGGGAAGATAAAGCAATATATGAAGCAATCTGTGAATAGTTACATAATAGATAACCTGCACATAACAGGTAGTAAGTTCAACATAACTTTGTAAAATGCTGTATAGAAATATATTCTCAAATTCTAGGAGTTAATGATCTCCAATAAAATATTCATGTTCATAAATATGAAAAAGGGAATAAAAAGTTCATTGAAGTATTTTTCTATTTTAAATGATTTTCAGGAGAGACTTAAAGAGACTGGAAAATTTCAGTATAACAGCTACAGCCTACTAATTCCATTTGGCTGTAGAATTCAAATTTGAAAATAATTTAAATAAAAATACTTGCCAATTTTTGTGATAATTCCCACTGAAGCCCACACTTACTTGAGTGTTTCTTTCTCTCTTCAAATAGTTTACATTCAGAACCAATGCATATTTTCTGGAAAAACTGGATACATGTAAAGAACCTATACTAAACTGTTTTATAAAAAGGACATTATCCTTGTATCCTTCCTATATCCTACTCAATTAGTTCTATGGATTGGTAAATTCTCTAAATTTATTAAAAGCAGAAGTCTTGAAGATGGATTCAAAGGATTGATGAGACTGAAATTTTGTGTTAAATTAATTCCCCCAAGTCTACTATGGAATCAATTTAGAGAAAAGTTGCTGTTCACAAAAGCTATCTTAACTTTTTCCTTGAAATTTACTTTACCTTTAGTTCTGCAATATAAGAATGTTATGAGTGAAGTGAAATGATTTTAAGGTTCACAATAGGAGACAGAGGATTGAGTTTTGTCTTGAATTAGCAATTATTTCTCAAGCAACAATCAGCATAGATTATGTCTACATACCTTATATTTGCCTAACTTCTCAAATCATTTAAGTATGTGGTTTGGCTTATATACAAATAACAATTATGCCAGAGTACAGTGACTAAATTTTTAAAGTAAACCTTAGCCCATTACACATCCTGTCATATGGCATGTAGGCAGTGTGGTATGGATGAAAAAATGTGGACTGAGGTAGACCCAGACTGAAATCCCACCTTTGTCTGTTACTAAATGTGGATCTTGGGCATATTACTTAGTTTCTCTTAGCTTCAGTTTCCTCATCTGTAAAAAGGGAATATTAATTATAATGCTCATATGGTTGCTCTGAGGTTTAAAATAACTAGTATTTGTATACTTCAGCATTCAGTATGTGTCTTTTCGTAACTTCCTACACTGGTAACAGTTGTTTTTTTTTTTCCTTTTTTGCCAATTATGCATTTAGAAAGATTTAACAATTTATAATTAAATCATTTTTGTCTAAACTAATTCAAATCAAGTTCTTTCAGTGACCTAATTCTGGAATACAGTTAGGATTTTGTTAAGGGAACTAATATTAAGACTTTACTTATTATGATGCTTTTAAGGTTACATTACCATCTAGTGAAATAAATTTTAATATTTTTAGCTGAATAATCTTTTATTCAAAAGGACCCACTTTTGTACATGTAAAATTTTGTGATGGCAGTTAAATGTCAACTTTAAGAAACACTTATTATCAGATGAATATTAGCAAATAATTAAGTCATTTAAAATAATGTTGCTTGCTTGTATCTTATAGATTTTAAGTCTGATGTATAATTTAATTTAAAATTTATTAAAATAATATATACTTTCCACTTTTCCTACTTTTCAAGAGTCCACTAAGAAAACTGGTGAAAGGAAATTATTTGTTTTAAACATGCTTGAATGAAATAGTAAACTATTCAGTTATTTTAATCTGGCATATTAATTTTCTAAGGCTTTTGTTATCATTTTCCAAATAGTAGAAAATGTTGAAAAACCTACAATAGACTGGCCTAAATACAAATACAGCAGAACGTAAGATAATTCTCCTGGAAGGAAAAGATCAGTTAGGCCTCAAATGGTCATTTATCCTCAATGCTTCAAATTGGAGAAGGAATATAATTTATTTTGATTCAAAGTTGTCCTACAAATATTTGAAAAGAATATCCTAAAATGCATATGAAAGATATTTAAGGTCAAGAGAACTAAGTGAAAATGTACTGGGAAAGATATAAATAATTTGTTAATAGAAGGATAACTGTGAAAAAAATTATATGCCAGAAGACTGAAAATCGGTTACAGATCTGAAGATAAGGGCCAATAAAACACAAAATGTGGAAATTCTGGGCACTAATAAAATAATCTTAATTCTAAGAATCCAGAACTGTTCTCAGCAATCCAGCTGAATAAATGGTAAGTGTAGTAACAACTAACTTCTAAGATCATGGCACGCGGCAAATCAGAAGGCTTATATACAAGTAAATCACAAGTATTTTGGACAGAAAATTGGGAAATTCAGGCTGTCTTTAGCTAAGTGATGAGATAGAAGAATATAGTGAAAAATATTGTTCAGGAGATAAAAACCTAAATCAGAAATTTGGTGATTTGTGTTTTCCTCTTAACCTTTTAATCCCTGGAAATATCTTAGAACTTAACTATATGACATTTACTAACTACTCTGATAATTTAAAAAAATTTTTTAAGTGAAATCATTGTTTGCAAATTGATGGAAAATAATTTGTGTTTAGAAAAAAGTCCCTTATTTGACAGAAAGTGCTTTATTAAAAAAAAACATGTAGAGGTTGTTTTAGAGAAGATTATAAGTAATGAAAGAAGCAAGAGAAGCTTTAAAAAACAATGATTTCAAGTCAAAATAGTAAATGTTGCTCACATATCGAAGATAATGTGAAAAACTGGCAAAAGGAAAAATTATGAAAATAGAATTAAAGACGATAACACATAATTCTCAAAAGAGAAGTTTAGCCTCAGTCTGCTCAAAAATGGTAGGTTTGACAGAAGCCCTTCCTTCCATAGGGATTTGGCATGCCACTTGAATGATTTTTCCACACAGTGTTTTAGGTCATGTGAAGAGGAATCATTTTCAGATAAAGTCACCAGTCTTTGCTTAGGAACAGAGTAAATGATACTACAGATTCAGAACTATAAATTACTTCTGAAGTTATAATAAACAGTAAGTGTAATTTTATGAGTCAAAGATGACCTATTCAGAGAATAAAGGCTATAACACTATTTTGTCTTAATTATTTATTTACCTACTTAAAAATTTCATAAGTATAGCTCTATAAGCTTACCAATAAAAATGTATTTCTTAAATAAATGAACATGGAACATGAGCATACACAGAAAAATAAAATAAAATGGGAAATGGCTAATATTTGATGTCCTGTATTTTGTTCTATTCTCTTTTATGAACTCCCAAAACCAGAAGCAAATATGTTTATTAAAATGCCTGGAAGAAAATATTTAGGATTTGGAAGGTTAAAAGTAATGGCATTTAAAATCAGGTTTTGGTAGTTCCTTCTTTAGAGCCCTTTAAGACAATATTTCTGCATTCTCCTTGACAAGGAGGGAGAAAGTGAGAAATCAGGTAGCTGCTTCTCCTGTGCAAAATTCACTGTCATAGAACTGACCTACAAAAGTATGGGAGATGAGGCAGAAAAAATGCTTATATTATGGAAGAATATGTGCCCTATTAGGAAGAGAGCTTACAAGAATGCTTACTTGTGGCCTATAAACTATTGCACATTCAAACAAAACACAAGAGAAAGATGTCCAACAGATAATATGTTCAGGAACACATCAACATAAAAAACTAGCTTGTGCCCAGAAAGAAAACATGGATACCAGACACCACTGTACTCAAACCTGTCTTAATTCGCTTCTGTTTTAATGACCTTAAGAAACTGGTCCAAACTGATTATCAGCAATACATTGTTTTTGCTTTTTTTCTTAAAAAAATATTTTGAGACCACTTTTGATACACACACATATAACTCTGTGGTCGTAACAGACAAATATAACTTTAGCGAGACTAAACAAAAGTGCAAAACTTAAAAAACAAAATTTAAAAATATGGAAGCATAAGCTAAATTTTTCTGCATAGCTGAAATCTATTTAAAGCAAGTCCTTGTTGCAGGGGTGGGAGGGGGTGGTGACAGGAGGATAAAGCAGTTTTTTTGTTTTTTTTTTTAAACGTCTTCTGCATGTTTAAATGATGCAAAAAATAATTTCACTCCATAGGCTTGAAAACATTTCACAGACAGTTCATTCCTATATCTTTAGACACCATGGTTGTGGCAGTGCCTCCTTCTGCAAGGTAAACAGCAGTGCTGGATTTGGAATGAACTGCCCTGTTACTGCCATTGTTGTTGACTTCACAGTCCAGTGATTCAGTGGAGATGACCCAGGTGGAGGGACGCCACCGCTTAAGAGAATAGGGAGTTTTCACACGTTTCTTGATCTTTTCACCTGATCCTGATTTGCCATCTTGTGTTGACTCACCTACTGAAAATAAAAGTGCAGAAAAATGAACTATATTACAAACTTAAGAAATAAAGGGTGAGGGATGTAACTCAAGAAAAGGTCAAACCTATGTCTGAGGAGGGTGCTAATGAACTTTTCTTGGAATTCATAATGCTAGGCAATGTTTTTCTAGGCAAAGCTTAACCAACTTATTTGGGACTCTCTTAAGCCAAATGTTTTAATAACATTAACTTATTCTATAGGACAAGGAAACACATAAAAAACAAAAACAGGGAAGAAAATTTAAAGCTCTCAGCTATATTCTTAAATCTTCTGGTTTTAGTAAAGTGTACTTAATCATTGTATTTAATGCTCAAGGTGGATCAATATTTTTTTTTTTTTTTTTTTTTTTTTTTTTTTTTTTGGTAGCTCAGGCTGGAGTACAGTGGTATGATCTTGACTCACTGCAACCTCCACCTCCTGGACTCAAGCGATTCTCGTGCCTCAGGCTCTTAAGTAGCTGGAACTACGGGTACGTGCCACCATGCCTGGCTAATTTTTTTGTATTTTAGTAGAGACAGAGGGATTTCACCACGTTGCCGAGGGTGGTCTTGAACTCCCAAGCCCAGGCAATCTGCCCGCCTCAGCCTCCCTAAGAGCTGGGATTACAGGTGTGAGCCACCATGCCTGGCCTGAATCAAATTTTAAAGGCACCTGGCATACAATATTTTTCAGAAGAATGAAAGAAATATTAAAGTACAAATATTCTAGTTATTTCCTCTTCCTATGTCTGACACGTCTGACTGACTCAGAGCCCTGCAATAAGGGTCTGTCACCTGGTCTATAATATAAGACACTTAAGCAAGTGGCTGAATTTTACTGATTGTTTTTTGAGGTCTGTATCCTTCTTTCAGCCCATTTTGTAGCCCTCAACAATCATAAAGCATATCTTTTTTCATAAATGCCTTAGTCTAAAAGAGAAATGGCTCAGTATGGTGGCTCATGCATGTACTCCCAGCACTGTGGGAGGCTGAGATGGGTAGATCACCTGAGGCCAGGCATTCAAGACCAGCCTGGACAACATGGCAAAACCCCTCCTTTACTAAAATACAAAAATTAGCGGGGCACGGTGGTGCATGCCTGTAATCACAGCTACTTGGGAGGCTGAGGCAGGAGACCCACTTGAACCTAGGAGGTGGAGGCTGCAGGCTGCTGAGATCATGCCGGGAGCCTGAGGCAGGAGAACTGCTTGAACCCAGGAGGTGGAGGTTGCAATAGGCTGAGATCATGCCATTGCACTTCAGCCTGAAAGACAGAGCAAGACTCTGTCTCAAAAAAAAATAATAATAATAATAAAATAAAAATAATTTTGTATAACAATAGCTGTTACAGATTTTGTGAGTTCTCCTGTTTTGTGTTGCAATCCCTTTAGGGCAAGAAACCAAACATCAGTTTAAGTTATTTGTTTAAGATGCTATGGGGCTCATAGTATCATAGTAAAGTTTGGAGTTCCAGCTACTTGGGAGGCTGAGGTGGGAGGATGACCTGAGCCCAGGAGGTTGAGGCTGCAGTGAGCCATGATCTTGCCACTGCACTCCAGCCTGGGCAACAGTGAGACCCTGCCTCAAAAAAAA